ACTAGCAAAAGCACCAAAACAAACAAAAGCCTACAGTGGTCAAAGTGCCCCTGCTTTCGCCTTAAAATTTGCCTACTTCTCCCTCGTTTGCCCTTTTTTGGTTACTTGCGATCACGTAGGTTTGCAAAAAGCAGTCACATAAATAACCTTTTCAGTCTCCAACTCAATGTGATCACTATTCCACCCAACTCTTATTTTTATTGTGACAATAAAACACGTTTTTGCCCGGTCCCGAATGCCGCAGACCAGCCCGCGGCCACCCGACACCGTACCGTTGGCGACTCGGGTCGATCCATCATGGCTGCGGCCGCTTACCCTGCTTTTCAGTCCCTGAGCCTTGTGGTCCTCCTCCCTTTGGCTGCCCTGTTTATATAGAGCCATTGCCGCTCTCTAATATAGACTCTGCCAGGATGGGAAGGTGCTTTTCAGGCCTACGTCACCGCCTCTCCATTTAAACACCAGATCCGGCTTTAAATAGTGAGAGCTGCTGCGAGCGGGGCTGGGAGGTTCGTGCTCCCGAGGCGAGAGGCTGGCGCGTGCAGAGCTCAATCTATTCTTGGGTCCTTCTCTTAACGCTGTAATCTCACCCCTAACGGAGGCTGCTTTCAGAACCCCAGATATTTGTTTTGATGCTGCAGCTATGGTTTGTCTTTTTGTTTGCCAGGGGAAAACATCCCGAATTACTGTCCTTTCTATTTTTAAAGAAAATTTTAAGATGTACTGGAAGGTGTGTGCATTATTGTTGGGAATTTAAAAATGCTTTCTGCGTTAAGCGTCAGCTGCAGAGGACTTGATTTGTGTAGGGATATTTTGTTTATCAAGTGTTCAGGAAACATTAGAAATCTAGTTTCTAATATTTTATGATTTCTTTTTTTTATTGTTTCATTGTTTTCTGCAAATATAGGAAGACAGCAAGCTATTCAAAGACAGTAGATAAGTGGCTGAAGCTTTACTTGAGGATTTTATGTCCACAGTACATTTATATGTAGAGGAATTGTGAGTCATGAGAGTGAGGAGATACAGTGCAAACTGGATTTTAAAATTAAAAATCTAAGTAGACTGCTTTTATTGCATTAGATACTAATATGGTAGCCAGTATAAAATTAATCGAATTTATTTTCCAGCATTGCTGTGCATTCTGGGTTTAAAATTCTTTTAATTGCTATAATATTCATCTTTTTGTCAGAAGTATTATATAACTTGAATCATTTTAGATACACCAGGAACCTTCTAAGACTTTTGAAAGGAACCTTTTGATTAATTACTTGTTAGTGCCACTAATTGACTTCTAATTTACCAGTTTTCAAGTTTTGAATATCTCCTAAATTGCCTTGCATTAGGGGGGAAAAAAAAAAACTTTGGTTCAAGTGAAGTTTAGAATTTTAAGTGATGGTTTAGATCTTATATCAGATAGTGCTTGTTCACTCATGTACTTTAAAATAAAGCATCAATATTTTGAGGGCTTTTCAACTTAATGAACAATTCTACTAAATTATTCTTTATATATATACTTCACAATGAATACACATTTTCTCTCCAACTTTAAGCGTTCAAGTCGTAGGTTCATTTAACGTGTAAAAAGCAGTCTTAGAACAAGATTGATTAAGTCGGGTGTACCAGAACAAAGCGTATTTGCGTCTGTAAATGTCTGGATCTTCAAGCAGAAGATTTTTAGGGTTAACTGACTTCAGGAGCAACAGAACAACATCTTGTTTGCTGAAAAAATAATGTATGTTGTCAATTTGAGGTTTATGCTATCAGTTTAAGAATACATGCCTCTTTACAGTGCCTTGAGAAGGGTCATTATTGGATAAAAAAAAAAAACCCCTTTCTTGATGTAGTTTTGTAATTGAGTAGTTAAATCAGTGTAGGTATAGATGATACCCATAGTCGGATACACTTTCTTAGTACTAGAATCAGAATGTTAAAATTAGGAGGCATTGTAGAGATGCACATTTTACAGATAAATCATTTTTAAGTCCACAAAGGCAGATTGGGCAAAATCAAAAAGCCAGTTAATGATTGGCTTAGCAAGGGTGAGAACTTAGATAAATAAATAGTTTTTCTGGTTGTAATGAAAAGGAATGAATGGTTTTTAATGGTGGAGGTGAGTTGTACCAACAAACTCAGTTCATATTTTTGGTCAGACAAGGGTACATTTTCTTTGAGGGTTCCCCTGTGATAACAGTATTACTGAGAGAGAGGCTACTGAAACATTTATTTCTCCTTGAGGTTTGCTTATGAGAGCATACCCTTGACTTTATTGGGTAGCCAATAACTTTCACCTTAAACAAGGTATAAAACACAATGACAAAATACCAAACACCTTACCGGTATGTGATAAATAACAAGGCAGCTCTAGTTTTACCAGTCTGGCTGCAAACTTGGTTTTCTAACATGTTAAAAATAGAATGTGGGTATCTCTTACTTTTTAGTTTTTAAAAAATGCTTTGTATGTTTGAAAGTGCTTTTCATATCTATTCTCATTTTATCCTTCTGGCATTCTTCTAGAAGCTAGCTGCTGAATATTACCAACAATAATAGTAATACCAAACAATACCAAACGATGTAATACCAACAGTAATACCCCCAAATAATACCAACAATAATAGTAATAATAAATATCAAAGGTGTTCATCATTTCTGTTCCATAGCTTCACTTGGGAAGTAGAGGAAGGAGAGAGATCAGTGTAACTTGTTCCTCTGGGACCTTGAGACCTATTGTTGTGGATATGGGAATAATTTAATGATATAGCTTTAAGGTTTAGACTAGGTTACAAAAACAGAAATTAGGTGATTTTTGTACTTTAATCCTTATTAGGTTGCAGATTATTACCAGGGAAATGACTGCAGAATATAAGGTTCTCCAAAATTGAAGACTTAGTGGCAAGGTTATGAGATAAAACAGTGTTACACCAAGCAGGGAATAATAGAAACTATAGACATAAGCAACCTATAAACTATTACTGAACATCACATTAGGTGTTTTGTCTCCAACGTGGGAAATTATAACTGGAAATTGTATGGACCTTGTATGTGTAAAGACATTGGCTTATGAATTGCATTAGATGATTTAAACACTTACATTAAAATATACAGTCATCAAATAATTCAGTTCTATGTTGCCTTTTCAGTTAGCTTTGTTCAACCAAGGCATATGACATTCATTAAATTGACCATATCTTTAGTCATTTCTTCTAAAATAAGTTTTAGGTAGTTGTTAAAATAACTATTGTATTACGTCTAATTTGTTTTGAGTTTGTGAAAACCTACTATGCATTTCACTATATAAAAAACAGTCTTTTTTAACAGTCTTTCGTTTTTCTTTTAAAGCCTAAGTTATACAGATCTGTGATTGAAGATGTCATTAATGATGTGAGAGACATATTTCTGGATGATGGAGTAGATGAACAAGTCCTGATGGAATTAAAAACTGTGAGTTTGCTTTTTTTTGTTTTTGTAAATAATAATCATATTTTTTTCAAAACATTTCTCTTTGCCTAGAGACTAATCCATATTTCTTCCATAGCATGAATATTTGACTTTGTTGTAAGAGACAGTATTGTTTACTGAAGGATGCTGACTTTGCTGTCCACCTGCTTGGTTTCAGATTCTAGCTCTACAGTCTACTCTTTCTCTGACCTTGAGAAAACACTTCCATGTTTCAGTTTCCTTATCTGTAAGATGGGAATTGGTAGTATTTACATCATAGGGTTGCTTTGAGGATTAAATGCAATAACCATATAAAAACGCTTAGCACAGTGTCTGGCAATAATATTAGCTGTTATTGAGTGATTAACATTCTATGTTTTATGGTCAGATTACTTCACGTGCCTGCAACAGGTTTTTTTTTTTTTTTTTAATGGTCTTAAGACACTTGCATTCTAAAGTGTGTTTTAAGTTGTGGGGATTGAATAAGTACTTAATAAAAGAATTTCAGGTGCTTGAGTCAGATCCTTTATGTGGGCCAAATGTTAGGTTTATAATGTAATTTATTTGGGGGGCTTATTTTCTGTCTCTGGATTTAAGCTGAAATATTCAGATATTTTTATTTAGCATTTGTGTTTTTCTGGTGTTATAATGACTTACGAAGTCAAATGGACTATTTTAGCCCTGTTGCTTAGAATAGTGGCTCTCAAGTGTGGTGTATGTATTCCTGTAGGTTCCTGTGAAACCCTTTCAGGGGGCTAATGAGGTCAGCCAGATGCCAAGTTTGAATAACCATAGTTAATTCGTCATTCTTTCAAGTAAAAGTTGTGTTCTGTGAAACAAAGTGGCCAGTTCAACTAGTAACTCAAATGTATAAGTGCTGTCTTCCTTTAAGTCATTTCTCACTAAACGTGATAAACGGTTCTGAGACCAAAAAGTTTTATAACTGCTGGCTTAGACTTTGGGTGTTGAGTTCTTTTACTGCTATGTACAAGTAAGTAAACACAGTTAATGAATGCTAAGGAGTATTTGTTGTGGTCTTACTTACCTATTCAACCAAGGTGTGGAATGTATAACTTAGCAATTTATTATTATAAATCAAACAAATCTCAGCTTTATTGTGGTTATAAAATAAGTCCTGGAGTGTTTAGGCATCTGTGGGCAATTTCTCTAGAGTTTTCAATAAGAATCTGCCCTTGTGAAGGAAGGAATGATATATAGGTTTAAGCAGTGACAAAATATTTACTTTAGAGAAATGTAATGGTTACTAAAAGCAAAGATTAGATATCTAAAAATTCAAGTGAGAGAATGTCAATTCTGAGACATGAGTTAGGGAGAAACAGCAAAACAGCAATATAAACTGCTCCAATAGCATAAAGTATCTCAGGGATATGAATGACAAAAGAATAAGCTAATTTTGATTCCCTACGTGGAGTGAATTTTTTTTTTTGGAAGAAATCTGTCTTTATTTACAGACAACATGATGTAGACTATCATCTGATGGTATCTCTAAAAATGCCTCTAGAATAGTTGAGGTCAGCAAGGTTGAAGAATACAGGAGTAACATATGAAAATAATTATATTTCTGTACACCTTGAACTAACAGCAGGAAACTGAATTAAAAATAGTAACATTTACAGTATTGTCAAAAACATCAGATAGTTAGGGATGTTGTTGGTAGGTGCCATCGAGTCAGTTCTGAGTCATGGTGACCTTGTGTGCAACAGATCAAAACATTGCCCGGTCCTGCACCATCCTCACAATCATGCTAGATTTGAGCCCGTTGTTGCATCCTCTGTGTCAGTCCATCCTGTCCAGGGTCGTAGTCTTTTTTGATGATCCTCTACCTTGCTGGAAACCCTGGTGGCGTAGTGGTTAAGTGCTACAGCTGCTAACCAAAGGGTCAGCAGTTCAAATCCACCAGGTGCTCCTTGGAAACTCTATGGGGCAGTTCTACTCTGTCCTTTAAGGTTGCTACGAGTCAGAATCGACTTGACGGCAGTGGGTTTGGTTTGGTGTTTTTTGCCTTCCCAAGCATGGTATCCTTCTCCGGGGATTGGTCCCTCCTGATACCATGTCGAAAGTACAGGACACGAAGTTTTGCCATCCTTGCTTCCAAGGAGCAATCTGACTGTATTTCTTCCAAGACAGAGACATGTTCGTTCTTCTGGCAGCCCATGTTATATTCAGTATTTTTCAACATCCCCATAATTCAAAGGCATCAATTCTTCTTTGGTCTTAGTCATTGTCCAGCTTTTCACATGCATATGAGGTGCTTGAAAATACCATGGCTTGGGTCAGGCACATCTTAGACTTCAAAGTAATATCTTTACTTTTCAACACGTGGAGTGAATATTTTGCAGTTTATGTTACACTCTTATGATTGTTCTTGTAGTTTTATGATCTTATGTAGGAGGTGTAACATTTTTAGGTGTAGAAAATCAGGCCCAAAGAATTTAAGTAATTTACCTTAGGTCAAACTGGTGGTCAGTTTAGGTTGTTCATTATCTGTGCTGTTTTTCTCAATGAAAATTCAGGAAATTTATTTTTAGTACTTCTCCCGGTAGAATCAAGGCATTGTCCCCAGAGACCAGATGTCTCCACCTGCATTTTTATTATGTTTACTTTATCTATTCATATATATTTTATAGTTCATGCAGTAATTTTTAGTTTAATGGTTAGTTTAAGAACAAAAACTATAACTTACTCGACTTTGAATCCCCAGTTTCTACCACAATGCCTGACATATATGGTTGGTATTCAGTAAATAGGAGCCCTGCTGGTGCAGTGTAAGAGCTTGGCTGCTATCCATAAGGTCGCCAGTTTGAATCCACCAGCCACTCCTTGGAAACCCTATGGGGCAGTTCTACTCTGTCTTATAGGGTCGCTATGAGTCGGAATCGACTTGACGGAAACGGATTTGGTTTTTTTTTTTTTTTTTTTTAAATTCAGTAAATATTTAATTGATTGAACTGTTTAATAGCAAATATGGTTCCAGGCTCTAACCGAGCAAAGCATTTAATGTTTTTGTTGTTTTTAAATGGGGCATAATCTTCTATCCTGGGTTATAACTGGAGTTAAAAATAAAACTGTTAGACCAAAATGAGTTTATGTTATTTTAATTCTCTGTGCTAAATTTCTTCAGACTCTTATTAGAACTTTTGGAATGTGTCCTAGTTTTCACAGTTGAACAGCCAGCACTGTCCAGTAGAACTTTACATGATTTCTGTGTCTGTGCTGTTCATTGTGGTAGCCACTAGGCTATTAAGCACTTGAAATGTGGCTAGTAGAACTGAGGAACAGTTTTAAATTTTAGTTAATCAAGCATCACTTAACGCCCACTGTACATTCTGCGAAACAGGATGTTATGTGATTTGCATGTTGTGTGAAAACGTGGGTCTGCAGGGCACGGGTCTCTTGAGCACATGGGCTGCCTAGGGGGTGCTGTGCAGCAAGCAGTTCAAGCAGCTCCCGCTAGGGTGCCCTCAGGTGAGTGCTCTGCCCAGCCTTGCCTCATGTGCAGCCCGTGGAGGTCACCGTGGAAAGGCTCCGGGCATGGGCCTGGGCAGCAGGAGAGCAGTCTTAAGAGACTCGGTGCCCCTTCCCCAGCTGGGCCCTGAGTTGCCTGCCAACCTTGGGTGCTGGGGAGCAGGATCAGGTGCCCGCTTCTTCCAGCAGTAGGGGCACCTGTTCCCATAAGTGGAAGGGCAGCGGGGCAGGTTTGCTTCCAGGTTGGACAGTAGGCATCCCACAGAAGGCACGCGCCAGACCACAGACATATATGCTGCCCTAACAGATTTTATGGAGTGCATTATTGTAATTTAAACTTAAATTGCCATCTGTGGCTAGTAGATAGCGTATCAGACCACACAGGTTTAGACATTCTTACTAATAAAAACTAATACTAATTTTGCATTTTATAGTTTGTAAACAGCTTTGTTATTAGCTCCCCCTCCGCCCTTTTTTGGCCATTTCACAAGCTTTTATCAAAAGCATGGGTGAGGCTGTGAAAAGTACAATGGTGAATTAGAATATGAATTAAGATAAAGGGATGAGTCTATGTAATTTGAAGGGTAAGTGCAGATAAGATATGATGGGAGATGATAAAAAAAAATTCAACCTAATTCTAGACATTGTCTGTTGAAGTGTTATGAACCTACTTTAATGTGTGAACTTTGGGACCTGGAAAAGACATGTAAAACATATTTCTTGTTTTTAAGAAATCTATTTATACTTGACTGAAATGTTTTTTCATGGGGGGGGGTGTCAGATCTCCTCTAACTTCGCAAGGGGAAAGAATCATTACCAGCATCAACAGTCCAAGGCCGACTGCTGAGGCAGAGGTCAGATATGCCTCTATCCTCCAACTTTTTTTTAGCAATTCTGACACCAGCTCTTGCTCTCATGGCACTCTACTTCTCTGCTGGGTTCAATTCGTTGTGGTGCCCACACAGAACTCACAGACAATACTCATGATTATGGGGTTTATTAGGGAAGTAGCAGGTTACCGTTTGGATCAGAAACGACTCAGGATACAGTTCTTTGATCAGGACAGCCTCTTTTCAGCTGTGCCTGCAGGCAAGCCTCTCTCTGGCCCTTGGCCTGGCCTCTGCCCTGCTCTGGCAAGTGTTACAAAGCTCTTTAGTTCTGCCAGTAAGTGCCAGGAGGTACCCTACTTCACCGGTAAGCCTCAGCCCGAAGGCTCTCAGCTCTCTAGCTCCATGGGTCAGCAAGTCTAGCTCCACCAACAAGTGCACAGAGGCACCCTACTCCGCCAGCAAGCCTCCTGCCCCAAGGTGCTCAGCTTTATTGTTCCATGGACCAGGAAACTCACTGTGCCGTCTTCAGCCAGTCTCCTGGTTCTGCTGCCTCTGCTGCTGCTTATCATCGTATTGATGTTTCAGTGTTACAGCTCTCTGTGTCCTGCTCTAGAAGTTTCTCAGTGCAGGGATCCCGGGTCAAAAGGATGCGCTCTGCTCCCATCTCTTCTTGGTGGTAGTCAGGTC